CATATCACACATACACGCGCGCGCGCACCTGATATATCTAGTATTATTTTAAAAAAAGAAACTCATAAAATATTGGCCTGGAATAAGTCGAAAATGAAAATGATGATCAAAATAATTGTTTTCGTATGAAAAAAACTTGTATAATCCATTTAATAATAATAGTGGTATATAATCACATAGAGAGATATTAATAATATTAATAGTAATAGTAATAATAATAATAATAATAATAATAATAATAATAATAATTATAATAATAATAATGTAATGCTAGTAATGTAGAATGTTTGGCATCGTTATGTGTTTGTGTTTGTACAGTAGCCTGTTTTTAGCGGAGTCTTCGAGAGTCTTTTTTCGTCATTCATATTCCAAACATCGACAATACAGACAAATAAAGCCTATTCCTTTCTTTTTCTGGGGCGGATACAATTTAACGATTAATACAACAAATTAAGCAATTAATTAATTAATAATGCAAGTAATAATCACATAACTGTAATATCGATATCAATAATAATAATAATAATAATAATAATAATAATAATAGCAGAAACATAATTCTAATAACAACGATAACTAATCGACAAATTAAATATCATATAACTAATGCAGCGGTAACAGCGCTGATTATTGTGCGATGGGTTAGGTAAATAATAAAATTAACGACACGTCTCCCTGCCGATCTTAATAATTTCGCGACCATCTAATTGCGAGAACAAATTTTAATCGATGTAACTTTACACAATCGTCTTGTGTTCCCGCTAAAACGATATTAACAACACCTATCATTGACAATTAATCGCAAATTAAAGCTCTTATTCGAATTTTCCCATGCTACATCTCTACACACCATTGTCTTTCGAAAATTTAAACTTATATTCGAAATAATATTTGATAGAAACGATAGAAAATACATATACCGCACTTGCATATTTATAAAATTCTAAATCATCTTTTTTTTCAGAAGAGTGCGAACGGTTTGTAATACGTTACAAATTATATAATACTAAATAAGATAAAGCAGATTTTTTTCCTCGGATATATGTAATAAATTCTTTTTACACAAGACGTGTTCCAAAACTATCGTCGTTTCTTTCTCATCGACAGATTTTCAGGAGAATTCAGACTCAATCTTTTCAGCTAAAACTCGTAAAGACTATTATTGGTAAAAATTTTCAACTCGCAACATTATATATTTTGATTGTTGAACGTCGTATTAAATTTTTAATATAAAGCAAATAAATTTTCGCAGCCATATATGTTTATATATAGAGACGTTAATTGAAAAGTAATATGTACATTTATATTTTCGTGCATATTTTCTTGAAGTTTAGTTTAAAAAAATCTCTCTTTCAATTTTGAAATGTTAAACAATTCAATTTCTCACATCGAAGAATCTGCGATTTTTTAGGAAGGTATAATAGTTTGGAAACATTTATCTCTTTCTATATCCCGTGACTGAGAGATAAGCGAATTCCGAAATATTGAGCTCTACTTGAAATATAGTGACTGTATATTATGGCAACCCAAGTCGTGTGTCCTCTACTTCTACGAAATGCGAGTGATGTTTGATTGAATTGTATGATGTTTTTGAATTTTTTAAAAACTCGCTGCGACTCGGTCCATGTGTTTCGGGAATATGAAAAATAAGCCTCTATCGTCAGGTCACTTGATATGATTATCGTTGAAAGGGTGGCGAGCTTGTCGCTGTTGACAACGCGTTGACCTTGTCAAGATTGACATTAGCGGAGAATTACGTTATTACAGTGATCTTATGCGAAAAAACACATTATTCGCTCGCGAGTCCATCTCCTTTCTTTCGTTTTATCAAACTAAACATCTCTGCGTAACAAATATTTCGGTTCGCACAAGCGGAAAAAAAAATTGTAACGCTGTATTTAATATGTAAGATGCGAATATAGAGCATGATTTCTTTCAGGCACCGACTGAAAAGATGACACGCTTATTTGTAAAAGTGACAAGAGAGTACATTAATTTTTTTCGAAAGAAGAGGGAAAGAGGCTCACCTGTGCAGACATTTGTGTTGTGTGTGTTCTTTATAAATTATTTTTTTTCTTCGAGAATTAACATATATAATCGATTCATTCTAAATTATTTTAGAATGTAAATTATTCGCAACATGCTGCATAAAGAAAGTGGTTCTTGTATCAACTGCCTATTTGTGTGACTATATAAATGCGCGTCTTGTCCGTAAAATTTGCACACACGTATACACAGGTTTATCGTTATACTTAAAAACAACTCGCGGCTTTGCTAAATATACGGAACAATTACTTTTGGTATTGTTAACGATCAATTTCTCGAACGTTTCTCGCACAAGAAGGGCAAAAAGTTAGTCTCATTCCACTGGTATTTACCTATCATATTAACTAAATTAATATTTACTAAAAAACGAATAAAATCTCCTCAAACTTCAAGATAAAGTTCAATTATGTATAAATAATTTTTCATCAGACGTTCTAGAAATCGACCGCTGCGACTGAGACAGTCATTAAGAGTATGTTTAAGAGATAAGTGTTTGTTACTGGTAAATTATACTATCTTAATCTAAAATTAAGGAACATCACGTTAAATGGGCAAGGGGTCACTGTAGTTGAAAACATTTTTTTTATCAACTAATTACGGCCATTTATTCTCGACTCATGTATGAACAGCATCTAGTGAGTTCCGTCTTCCATATTTTTATATTAAATACGTCATCTTTGTCATCATATTTTCATCGTTCGAAAGTAGATCTGTAGATAAGATGTGTCGCGCAAAATATGTTAATAATAGAATAATTTTATATAATAAGAAAGTGAGAGATCTGAATTAACTAATTAGTTTCACGGAGCTTAGAGTACATGTGATTGAAAAATTGTTTCCTTCTGCCCATCGAGCGCTCGTTCCTTTTCGGTACAAGCTTAAGCTAATTAAATATGAGCCGTCTCGACTTCTCTCCTCGCTTTTCTCTCTTGTCATTGACAGAAAGAGAGAGAGTGCGCGAGACAGCGCGTCTTAGGAGCGCAATGAAAATATGATATGTCTTCTTATGCATCTAGGAAGGATCAACGATGCCTGCTCGCTCGTCGTCTTTGCAAGACTTTTGATATTTACTTCTGTAAGACTTCTCTTCTGCATGTATGTTTACAAGTTAGGACCCGTATGACATTACTAAAAGTATAGTTTGTTACGTATATGAGATTCCTTGCGGACGAATGTTTGAGAAAAAACCGGTTCGGATGATTGATATTTCAAACTCGCGAATAATGAAAAATTTCCAAGGACGAATAACGATAAAATCTTCAAGGACTACGTATCAACATGTGACAAGATTGATGACAAATTCAAACAACGCGTGATAACAATTGATACATCGCATGGATAGTATATTATAATATTGTTATAGCAGCATTTTCTTTCTCTTTCTCTCTCTCTCTTTCTTTTTTTGAGTGTGAAATACATAAGTAGTTGAAGGAGAATAATTGTCGGAAATAATTGTCGACCCTCGGAGAGATTAGCATTCGCTCATTATAATAATTTGCGCAATGACGTATCAAATGAATTGAAGGTTCGTCAATTGTATTTGAACGAAAATGTTAATATTGATCCTGTGAGTTTCCGCGTAAATAAAATTTATTACACTAACACTGTCGACCTGCGAAAATGCGGAAAAGGAAATCTCTCTTTACGAAAAACGTGCGAATTAAAATTACAGCGTTGAAAAAACAATCGACAGATATATCTTGTTGCATCACTTTACGATTAATTAATAGCGAATCGCGGGTGGACAGCTTCCTCTCGCTTATCCCTTACGTGTCATTACACATTTAACGCCGAGTACGAAATATCAGACATTTATTGGAGGGAAATATCAACATGTTCGTAAAACATCGGACAAACCTCGAGTATTCTTAAATTGCTGGATATAAAAATGTAAATTTCGACCGTTAGTACTCTAGCATGACGTTATGCGCTTCCTTAAACATATGTTCACATCTTTCTCTCCCTCTCCCTCTCTCTTTCTCTCTCTTGACATTTCATGTGTGTCACGGAAAGGCACGCAATTGAAAAAGTGGAAGGATACAGATGCAGAGAAAGAGGAAGCGTGACATCGAGACACCAGGCTGTCCGTGCTTTTTCCTCGGTATGTATTCTGAAGTTTCCGTGTTTCCGTTTGGAATAAGGGAGGCTGTCGTTAACATTTGTCACGCGTGCTTCCATGCGTTCCAACGGGAAACGTCTTTTAAAAGGCAAACGATTCTGACTAGTCGACTATCGCGAGCGAATTTTTTCCTTGTAATCTCCCACGGAGCGTCGATCCTTTCGAACGTGCTTAAACAAGACAATTAACGAAGCGAAAGAGAATTGCAACAGAGAACTCGATGCACCAAAGTAATAATGTACATAATTTTTATAATAGATAGCACTCTTTCTTTTATAAAACAATCGATATTGCAATTAATGCTATTGAAGCTTAAATTACAAAATGCGACGTGTATAATTGTATATTCTATGGATCTATAAGCGCGTAGATACCGTAGAATATTTTTTTACATTAAATATTAATCTATCTCTGAGGGAAAAAAATGTGTGTATAGAGATAAACGCATTTTTTTACACATATTATACGCATACATACTCACGCGCGTATATCAATACATCGAATCGAATTTCTCGCCAATTGCCTTTCGCTATAGCTTGTGTGATTGTTGCTTTGCATATGCGTAATCTATCATATTCGTCATGTATCAATAAATTCATATCCGAAAATGACTATCGAGTTCACAGTCGCAATCGCATATGCAAATCTCTTTGATTATCGCGAAAAATCGAAACAATTGTGAGATTGATTAATGAGAAAAAAGGAAAGCGAATGAAAAATAGCGTCGACGTTTTTAAATCAGTCAAAATGATGCATCATTACATATCCCGCCATTTTATTCATTTTGAAACATAAGAAATTGCCTTCAACAATTCGTATCTTGCCAACAATTTATATCTTGCCATTCGCTATCTAACAGTATACACGAAACATCTTAAAAATAACAATATAAACAAATCTTTTCAATTTTCTCACATTGCCGTAAAAGTACATCATGTATAAACGAGGAAGCGTTATATAATTAACTAAAAGCACACAACTTGTTCGTGGCAAAATTCGATCTACATTGTAATCGCTTCTACAAAAAGTTTTATGAAACTCTTGTATGATCAACCCTAATTAGAAAGATTTAACGTAACGAGAATTTTTCGCGCGACTGTACATTCGATTATATATATCCGCATAGCACTTTGTATTCAGCGAGCATTTGTCACTTTTTTTTTAATGATTCTAATCATTAGTGTTTCCTTCTCGAATGTTTCGAAACGTTTGAATCTCGTTTTTTAGCCGGTCGCTCTCTGCCTTCACTTATCATAGGTATGTTTATTGTTTATGAGATGTGTGTATATAAAAAAATATGAATCGTCTTGTTTCTTCTATCAGAGGTAGATACGCAGGAAACAGAAGCGATATTCTTAGGTTCTCTTTTTTTTTCCTTTCGTTCATCTTTTTTCATGTGCACTTGGCTATTATGCGTGCCGGGTCTCTCTCGCGATTGTAAAACAATTTTTCATCGAATTTCACGTGTATTTAAACGTATCACTCTTAAATCAGATTTCACGAAGTATACGAGACGACACGAACAGTCGTTCCACGTATTCTAATAAAGCATAGAAAAGATAACGGATAATTAATTACCGCGAGAGAGAAACAATTGTCGAATTAAAAAAAAAACACGAACCTATAGATATTTAAATATAATAAAATAGTTATGTGGCATCCCGGTGCAATAATCCAACAATTTCTACCTATCGCACTTAAGGTGCCAAGTAATTTTAATTTACTTACATATACATTTCTATAATATAATAAAATAATTAGCTGGTCTACTACAAAGACACAAGAGCTTATATAACAATAGGAAGTTACAATTTTTTTTCCCTTATCTCTCTGACGATAAACACTTTTTTTTATTGCAAAAGAATTCGTGTTCTACATTTGGTTAAGTCCAAACAAAACTACCGCTTGCTTTGTACGCGCACACGTATATGTATATAAGGGTATTTATGCAAATATATATATATATATTTATATGTATATACAATCACTAGACTGAAAGATAAACTATAAAAAATGGAACGTTAATGGAAAGTTGCGATATCTGCGTATACAGTTATTTTTATGTACATAAATCCGATAATGCAGAATAGCACAATACGAATAATTAATGAGCGTTAAAATATTAATTAAAGCATTATGAACAAAAACAAAGTAATATCTCCGACTCGTGATTTTCTTTCTTTTTGATAGGAAATGCGCGCCGTAACTTAACGGAACGTTGGAGCCCTTAACGTCTCTTGGCTATTTCGTCGTTTTGCTAAATTGCTTTTATCGCGTCAGGTTATATTTCTTCCAAAGCAGGAAAGACGCTCAATCTTGATATCTCTGCGCTCGAGACACTCAACGAGGTCGCATATATCGAAACAATTCTCTCATTTGTGATTCGACCTGTTTCAAAATTATCATTCTCGATCGAAAAAAATGTTTCATCATCAACGAATCATATCATAACATCTTGTATCGGCGATTGTTTCGTCTCTCGCCCCAAGAAAGCGAAAGAGATGCTTAACGGCAGAGATTCGCGTGAAATAGCAGCAGCGCAACGACCGGGATCCCCATAATATGTGATAGTGTCCTCGATGGCTGGGACGCTTCGCGCTAGTGTACATCGTCGGCTTGGCGTCAGTCACTATTGCCGCTGCTATTTCCGAAATATTCTCCGGCGTCACCGCGACAAATCGGACACGTTCGGTTAGACTGTGAAGCAAATAACATCGTCGTTTGCAACGCTGTGTAAATTTCAACACAAAGATACATTCAGAGTAAATTTAGATTACGAGAGAGAGATGACATGACTCTTACCTTAAGCCATTTGTCGATGCACTTGGAATGAAATTCATGAGAACACGGTAGAACACGTAGCGATTGGAGGGCCTCGAAATCGCACATGCAAACGACACAGTTGGTCTGGTCGCCCTGGTGTGTCTCCGCGTTGAATTTGTAAGACGGCAATTGTTCGACCTCCGCACGAGTCAAGCCGCGTGGCTTAGCCTCGCCCAATCTCTCGGCTAAGGATAGCAGCGCCTCGTAATTCTCCGTTACAGAGTCAGGCGAGGATAATTCAGCCTGATTATACGGAGACAGCGGTGGATTGCTGAACATTGCTCTGCGGAATTAACACAATTATTAAAACTAAGTCTTGTTGCGCATCGTAGTAAGCACTATGACAATTACATAGTATACACGTACAGGAAATGTAGTAGGTATCCCGGATACGTCATGGGTGGTAACGGAGTCGTACCCCTCCATCTGCTGAATCTCGGTCGTCGCAAAACGTTGGACGTTACTCGTCGAGTTCTATTCTGCATCATCTCCAATTGACTGTTTCGCGTTTCGGACAGGAATATAGGAGGTGGGGTTGTCACCTGCGTAAGGGCCGGTGGAGAGTACGAGTGCGGTAACGGTAGCGGCGCACCAGCCGCGGCGCCCACTCTGTGATGATGATGCGACTCTATCAGTTCGAGCTCGACTTCTCTCTAAAAACAAATGCGAGAAACAATAGGAAAAATGAAAAAAAATACTGACGTCTAAAATGAGATTTGAGAAATATATGTAGATCTATTATATATCTTATTATATGCTTATCTTTTTTAATTTAATAAGAAAGTTTCTTTGGTCCTACAAAGAAATTAGATGAGGGAGATTATAGATAAGATAAATTAAGCACGAATCAGTTCAAATTGAATCCAATTGTAATTTTTCCAAGTCCCATCGAATTTACCTGCTGAGATAGTTGATGATGCGCAGTATAATCGGTAGTATGGACGGGTGGTGGAGGTGCATGTGTGTGATGCAGTGCTGCTACAGGACCGCCAGCTGGTGTTGGATATCCTCTTGAAGCAGCTCCTACCAAGGAACCGACAAGACCATGACCCGGATGCGTTGGATGAGCGGCGGAATAGTGACTGTGATGGTGCGTCACCTGGGGATAAACAATATATTTATGTGTATTTATATATATACATATATGTGTGTATATATATATATATATATATATATATATATATATATTCAAAAGAAATATATAGATATATATTTCTTTTGAAGGGTGAAAAACATACCAAATCCATTTTTCGTCTTTTCGAAATAACACTGCAATGTTGTAGCTCTGATGAAATAACTTTAGATTATTCTATCATAAAGGTAGAGAATCTGTTTAGGTCCAAGGAAAAAACGGTGAAAGAATGCACGTAGGAAAAGAACATGTTTAGTCACAATACAGGAAAATATTATGTCTAACAATAAACTTAGGTTATTAAAAAAATAAATAAATAAATAGAATAGTCTTTCAAGAAAGCTGCCTTCGGTAAACTTGACATTAACTTACACATTACAGATCATTTTCCTTTTGACGTATATTATGAAGAGTACATTGCTAAATAGTACACGATTTGAATTATATAACGCTTTTCCTAAGATATATATTTTTATTTACATTTGCTCATTATGTTACATAATTCCAAGTGTTACATAGTTATGCATTCTCTACAAATATATGTCAAAAAGAAAATGATCCGTAATGTGTAAGTTAATCAAAATTTATTGTTCCTTCTGATCAATATTTCAGAGGAAAAACATTTGATGCATTTTTTCACTAGATACTCGTTTTTTTAAACTACTTTTTATTTTTAAAATACATTTTATTTTTTATAAAAATACCTTTTATTTTTTATAAAAATACATTTTAAGTTACTAATAAAATTACGTACCAAAAGAAAGTTATTACTATAATATCAAGATCATTTTAAATGCTCCAGAAGAATAACATTATTATCAAGATTTATTTAAAATTTAAAAAACGTATTTAAATTTTAAAAACAGTCTACTGTAAAATTGACGCAAAGTGACTCGGTATGTTCTTCCCCCCTGGACCCTTCATATATAAATTAAGTAACAGAAATATCTGTTAACTGAATGCAACGTACGTAAATCCAACTAAAACCCAAATGATATGCACTTGCATAGCACATATTAAAATAAAAAACTGATGTGCAAAAGATGACACCAAACTATTGTTATCGAGAATAGCGACTAGAACCGATCCAAGCTGGGTGAAACGCATACTCCCTCCGTCTTTTGCCAACCATAGGTTGGCAGCAGTCGGGAGTAAAAAGATAGAATTTACCTATTCGGGAATTAATTTACCTGGCACGAGTGTCCGAACGGATGCGTTCCGTGAGGCGTATAGAGACTGTGAAGTTGACAGGGAATCCTGTAGCTCGGCGCCTGCGGATGCCACAGGGGCTCCCCGCTAACGGTAACCGGCAGGCCGGACACGCCGACCTGGCCCACGTCCACGACCACGGGCGCGTTCGCACCTTGGGCGGGATGGTGTCCGGTGCCACCGGCCGTTGGATGCGGATGGGGATGCGCCTGATGGGCGTTGTGGATATTGTGATGGGAATTGTGCAGGCCGTGCGGATGGGAGCTGTGGATGTTGTGATGCGAATTGTGGAGGCCGTGGTGAGAATTGTGGATACTCTGGTGAGGATTGTGACCCGGTAGGAACGGATAGGAGAGCCCGAACGAGTCCGTGTATCGCTGATAACGGTTCCTAACCGTTGGACTGCCGCGGGTGGACATGTGATTGCGCGGGGAGCGCCGTTGGGGCGCGCCTCCAAATTCCCAAGGCGGTGGGGTTGTGTGCAGGGGCGGCGTCGGCGCCGGGGGTGTCGTTTCTCGGACCTCTATCCCGGATACGGTGCCGTTGCGGGATATTCGACGACGTTTCCTCGACGGCGACTCGCTCTAGAAAATATTTCAATTGCTCGTATTCATCACCAGGTATCCACTCTGTGAATAACAGCACTGTGAATAAAATTAAGCAGGATTGAAAAAAGCGTTTACCATTTTATCATTAGTAAAATAAGCAGATACTTTCACTATATTACATTATATTGAGCAAGCATCATTTGCTCGTTGTGGGATAAGAAATTCGCAAGATCGAAATCTGAAGGTGTTTCCTTTGACATTTTATACTAAAAGCTTTGTTAAATTGTCTTGGGAAAAAAAAGGATAATAAATCGAGAAAAACCAAAATTATTTTTCTTTCAGAAATTGCGCATTTGAGCAGAATCAAAAAATTAATTCGAATTTAATTAATTACTAACTATGCACTTCTACCAATCATCGTCTTTCGTTCTTCCTACGTAAATTACTCAACGGAAAATTTAGATTAACACTGAAATGACATCTCATCAAAGCACGAAACAAAACAGTGGGCTCACCTTTCTACCATCGTCCTGACTAGGCTGTCTGTAATACGGCGGTGACGGTTGGATCTGCACGGGACTCAGAGGTAGCTGATTTGTGGCTGAAAAGAGAGAAGGATTACACAACTCCGTCTCCGCAATATTCCGATCGAGGAGCTATGGCAAAACTATTCTCCAGCAAATTAAATGGAGGAAGAAGAAAATTAGATACGCAAGTAAACAAGACGTACCTTGAGAGTTTCTACGGTACTCCATGTCCACTCCGCTGGCTCCAAGGCCGGGACTCATGTTCAACAGAGGGCCACGCATGGCGTTCTCCTGAAATCACATGCGAAACAATAAGTGATTTTCTTATCAGCCTAAGAGGAGAGGTAGGGAAGGGGATGAAAAAAAAGGACGATGACGCGTGCGTGTGTTCACCTGTCCGCAAATATTGATGTGCAACGGCGGGGAGTTGGCCGGCGGGCCTACCGACTCCTGGGGGAAGTGCGATGGCGGGCCCCTCGTCTGCGGACTGTGCTGCGGGGGCGGCTTGTATCCCACGCTGGATCCACCCACGTTCCCGTGATAGGAAACCTCCTTGCCAGCCGGTCCGGAGGACGTGCCAACCCCGGGGCAATCTCTGCATATATGTATATATATATATATATTATATGTATACGTACAGTTGGAGTAGCATGAGCGAGTGTCGCGAGCAAAATACACACGGGAGAAACGGATGCCGGAAAATATGTAATAAATTCGTGCGCGATACGCCGAGCGATACATTCTCGCGCAGTGATAACTCGAGCTAAAAACGCTGATACCGGCCGCACTCGTAATAGAAATGAGTCATGTATGCGATGTAGAGCGAGGATGTGCCAACACGCGCGAGTCCGCATTGATCCTTACGAAGGGGAATAATATTGTGCAATAATTTCTCAAAGTTTACTACGTAAAAAGAAGGGAAGATAGGTTATTTTTCGCGATAAAAAATTGCCTCTATAAAAATAAGATTCTTATTTAATAAATCGAGAATAAAAAATGTCTGCTTTTTCTTAATTATTAGGAATCCTTTTCGTTACTAGGCCCAAGTATCGTGTGAAAAGGTTCGATATGAGAATATAAAAATAATTATTTAATTCGATATTAATTCGAGTAGATGAAATGACAACTCAATGTAAAAAAATATGAAAAAATATGTAAAAAATTATGTAAAAAAATAAGAAAAAATTTTTCGCGATAAAAAATTGCCTCTATAAAAATAAGATTCTTATTTAATAAATCGAGAATAAAAAATGTTTTTTTTTTATTATTAGCAATCTTTTTCGTTATTAGGCTCAAATATCGTGTGAAAAGATTCGATGTGGGAATACAAAAATAATTATTTAATTCGATATTAATTCGAGTAGATGAAATAACAATTCAATGATATGTAAAAAAAAAGAAAAATTATTTTTCGCGATAAAAAATTGCCTCTATAAAAATAAGATATGTAATAAATCGAAAATAAAAAAAATTTTTTTTAAATTATTAGTAATCCTTTTCGTAAAAATAATTATTTAATTCGATATTAATTTGAGTAGATGAAATGACAATTCAATGATATACAAAAAAAAAGAAAAATTATTTTTCGTAATAAAAAATTGTCTCTATAAAATACTTATTTAATAAATCGAAAATAAAAAATGTTTGCGTTTTCTTTAAAAATTATATTACCAATTATTTCGTGCGAAATATTATATGAGAGGGAAGATTTGATACGAGAGTGTAAAATATTTGTTTAATTTGATTAAATATATGAAATGACAACAATTCAATGTTATGAAAAAAAAGGAAAAATATTATTTTTTGCGATAAAATTTTTGCTATAAAAATGATTTCTATTTAAACGAGAATAAAAATTACCTCAGTTTTCTTTAAATATTGTGTATTAATCGTTTTCGCTGCTTCGTGCATTATACGAAAAGATTCGATATAAGTATATAAAATATTTAATTCGATATTGAGTAGATGAAATGACGACAATTCAAAGATTCCTAGCAACATCGAATAACGGTATTCGCGTTTCCAAAAACGTATCGATTCGAGCGAATGTAAAACGTAATCTCTATTTTGACAACTAATTTTAGTTTTGATTCTCTGGCATAGATTCTCTCGCGAACGCCAAAGTTCATTTAAGCTCCCTATCGCAAGAGAAAAATATTTTTTCCTCCTCTCGCGAGATAAATTGTCGATTAAATCCGTCCCGATGTTATTCGCAAGAATTTACGATACGCAACATCGCGATTAAGCGAAAATTGAGTTTATGCTTGAGCAGCTTACAATTAAGCAAACATCTTTCAACGAGCAGTTATGAAAGTCGCAGTCATCAGAATGCTACGACAATATCTATGACGATGTATCTCTTATTTACGAATGAGAAAAGGAATGTGCAACGATATGTACAAACAGATTGCTATATGAAAAATTATCGACTCTTTCTCGTTAAAAATTTAGCGAAATGTTTTAAGTCGCATGAGTGACAAAATTCGCGATACTATCTCAGCACGCAAACCTTGGATATAAATCGAGGAAACAAATTGGACTTTTTTCGACATTATCAGCATTTCATTAAGATAGCAATCGATATCATATATTTTTTTTTTAATTTCAGAAAACATATTTGCATAACGCATTTATCTACCAGTCTGCAAGTATTTGAAAAAAATGGAAATCTTCCGAAGAGAATTTTAATTCAAAATAATTTAGTTAACACTTTCATTATATCATCGTTATTTATCGTTAAAGATTTAAAAATCGTATTGATCGATTTTTTTATCAACTCTCATGTGCTTATTAGCTCGATTTGATCTTGAATTTTCGTCTACGAAATGAGTTCGCCGGCGAATCCGCGGCTAAAGAGATATCCGATAGCGAGATGACATTTCCCGTATATTTGCTTGACCTACACAAGCACAAGGTAAAATAAAGTGACCGTAGTAGTTAACGATTCGACAAACTGGAGCGCGGCGGTTTATTTATTTTCATTAGACGCGGATTTATTTATTTTCACGCACAATCGAAATATAAAACCGGATATTTTATGAACGACGCCATAAAGAATCTATATCAATGAAAATCGAACGTTACGTAATATGGCGTGGCGTTTATAAAACAGTCAGTCGCACACCACGCGACTCTCGTAATACATGATGTAACGTAACGCTATTTATATAATTTTGCCCGCGTATTTATACATGGCTCTGCTAACATTGTGTTCAATTATATTGTTCACGCATTACTGTATCATTTAATTTTTCCTTCTCATCTATCCAAGAAATGCCTCAATTCTTTCTCTCGAGTCCCACGAGTGTTAATCCACGATTCAAATGCGGAAAGGACGAAAGAACGAACACGTGGTAAATTTCCGATGAAGATATCTACGTTTTTTTCTCTGCGATAGGAAGACGTGGAAAAATAAAGTAAAATTGGAATTTGATAAGTATGTGCACAGACATGCTAAAATGAGATAACTACTGAAACATACAAGTATGATATGAAAAAAATTGAGGAAAGTTGGAATACTGAAGCGCGCATGTAAAACATTATATACATTCCTGATAGTCAGATTTAATTGACCTTATTAATTAACTTTCAAAGATGTCCGTGTCATGCGTCGATACTGGTAACATATCGTATAGGATGGCGCAAGATTACACCAATTTGTTCGTATGCGTTGCAATAAAAATGTTGATTTCAGGACTATCTATCCGAGAAAGTGATAGACTGTACAACTTATGCATTATATCACGTGTTATCATATCTCAATTATAAACCGCGATTTAAATTTGTTATTTATCGAAATGCGTGCAATTTTAACGTAACGTTTACCCTTGACGAATATATTTCTGGAATCAATTTATATTTAAACTTAATTAATTTTTATTTAAAATTAATTCAGCTGAATGATTAAACTATCAATCAATTTATGTGATATTAATACGACATGAAACGTTAAAGGATCTATCCTGAATCAGGAATCAAAATCCTAGAATCAGAAATATTTAGTTTATTCCGAGTTACTGATATAATTTTCAACGGATAGAAAAGAAAGAGCTGTTACTTGTAGAACGATGCAATCGCGTATTAATTTGTACAGCGTGTATCATTTACCAAAACAGGAATTTATTATATAAAGACGGAACTTTTGTTGAAACATGTAATTTTAAATCGAAACATGTAATTTTAAATCGAACGCATGAGCCAAATAAATTTTTTAATATTTTTTTACATGCATATCTTTTACTTGCAATTCTTTTGCATGCGGGACCAAGCTTTTTCGATGACTTCGCGTACTATTTGAAAAATCGCGAAAAGAAGAGAATTGAACGATTTTTTTTTTAATTAGGAAACGATATTCGATATACTGTTTTGATATTTGTGCAAGGATGCAAATGTGCTGCGAGATGCAATTGCATGAAAACTGTGCACGAATCAAAATGACGCATATTTAACGCTTTCCCATTTTCGATCACGATATTCATGTCTTAAATTTCTTCCTTTTAATCTCATTCTTTCCTCTACTTGAACACTTGGCACGGCATCTGCCATTCGTGAAGATTACGAATAGTTGGCGACACACTGCATATATGTGCGAGACAGGATATCCCAGAATACTCACTCTGTCTTTAATTTCAACAGATTTTTCGACAAACTTGGAGTTTTTCTCGATTAAGATAAATTTCAATCATTGACTTAATTACGCCTTCGTTCGAGATATTACCTAAGAAAAAATCAACTTCCAAATTCTCGAAATTTTGGAATTAAAAGACCTTTGGAATTAAAAGACGAAGTTATCTCGCGGGATATCCTGCAAAAGGGATTCAACGAGAAACTCTAATTGAACGTCCGAAGGCTGCAAAAGTTTACACACGTGCGACAAGAGTATAATAGTCACATACCTAATGAAAAAAAGAGAAGAGAAAAAAAATTCAGCAATACACACACATACAGAGAGACAAAAACTGCGCGCGAAAAGAGAGAGAAGGAAAATCAATAAACCGATTTAATTGGTGAGCGGATAAACGAGGCTGCGCTCGAGGAAAGCCCGAAGTGCAAACGCGAAAATAAAGTGCATGGTTGCAACGCGGAGCCGCGATGGCCGGTTAATTGTCGTCGATTAGAGAATCGTCTTCGCACGCACAATGTGTGTCGGCTTCTCTGAAAATTAAATACACGCACATGGCGCGTAGTCTTGTCCGCCTGGCCTGAACGCATATTTTAAATATACATAATCGTAATCAAAAATATATGCGTAACTTTTGCCTTTTTGTACAAGGGAATCCGAAAATTCTAATTTTGAAGAAACTCTACACATTTTTCTCAAAAATTTTTTTTCAAGAATTATTTTCTCAAAATTTTATTATTGCAGTTAAATAGAAGTATTCTTATCAAGAAATTTTTGTATAAAATTTTTGTATAAAACATTTTTTGATATCTCGAATAATTTTCGAGATATACTGAAAAAAAGAGAAAAAGTGGATCTTCATATCAAGAGTGATCGCGCTCTTTAGAATTGCTTTTGGGCCGCAACGGAAGATTTTAAAATCTTTTTATTTATCCCCTCTCCCTACATGTGTATAAAATTTTACCAAAATCACAATTTTCGAGAGTTTGCGAGATTCCCTTGGAAGTTTCACTGATATTCAATGTACTACAAGTGCACGGTAAATAATGGGAACGAGAATTTTTGTCGCACGTAAAAAAAGAAGCTCGATCCATCCAGTAATGAAACGCGTGTCGACTTTGTGAGCGATGGAGATCGAGCATTTTCATCGACGCGCGAACCGAATAAACGAATTTATTTACAGCCGAGTTTCTGTGGAAAAGTGCCCTAAATTTATCGTATTTTTTATTAGGAATGCAGTACGATTTTACTCTATCGAGAATATCAAAGTAGAGTTTTCGAGCTATCAATGATTTACAATCGATTTTCATGAATGATATGAATAATGAAGCCTTTTTCCTTTATTCAATTTCAATGAGTATTTTTTTTATCGAATTTTCACTCACAATTTAAAGTATTTGAAATTGACAAAAATTTAGATTTTCTAAAAAAAACCCCTTTAAAAGCTATCTATGCTTCAAAGATTCAAAATGATAAGAAAATATTAATAAAAGAAGCAAATATTATCTGGGATATTCTATATAGAATTATATCGATTAAATCGACAATCATATTTTTGTGTTTTTTCTGTTCTTTAAAATAAATCTTATTCAGGGACAAAGTCATTACGTTCAGCCCAAGCGTTAAACCGGAAGGTACCCAGGCGAGCACACATAGATAATATTTCAAATGATCGCAACATATATATCCAAATTTTCCTTTGGCAAAACAAAGATACATTTAAAAGCATAAACTATTATTTCGATCGTTGACAATTTTGCATGTCGAATAATAAATACATTCAAGTATTATTCTGCTACATATTCAAATACTAACGCACTTCGTGAAATACCAGCTAAATCAGTTTGATCTAAGCGATTTTTCATTCGTTTGTTTGCGTTTTTATAAAGGAAAATGGATAAAGCTAACTTTACTTATACAGTTCTCTATCATACACAATCCTCTTTAAAAATAAAATATTTAATAGTAGGTCTGCTTTAAAAGAAGAGTAACATTTTCTGCTGTGCGAGTATCTAAAGATTAATAATTCTTAATAGTTGTGCCAAAGCTCAATTTGTGAACTGCAAACATATATACATGCTCATCGTATACCGATAATTGACAAAATATCGGAGAGAAAGTTTGTCGCGCGCTCCTCCTTTCTCTAATAATAATTAAAAGTGCCATCAAAGTATCAATATTTACAAACGAGGGGAATATTTAAGGGAGACAAAAATTCAGATATTTCTCTATCGCGTGCTATTTACGAAATCCCACTCGTAAATAAAATTAATTAAGAATAATAAAGAAAATAAAGAAAAAAATAATAAAGAAATAATAATAAAGAAAAAAAAAAAGAAAAAAAAATTTGTTCAACACGAATAACTTAAAAAATATAAAATATTCTGGTCGCAGCACTCGAAGAGAATCATCGCCTGGGTCCCTCCAGTCCCTCGAAGCATGCACACGTAGGGTGCAGGCTGCGAGGAACATCCGGTGTTTTGCGTAGGATTTGTTATATACCCATTGTGATATCGTGGTGGCGGGCATTGCCGATACGGGTATTCCTTGTTGGCGGCAGCGTATTGCTGGGGATGCTGCTGCTGTTGCTGCTGTTGCTGCGGCGGCGGCGGCGGCGGCTGCTGATGCTGGGGATGCCATCCGCCGTTGCGGGGGTGGGATGGCAGCGATGGGGCGCGCACGTGCGGACCCGACGAGACGCCATTGGACACCACAGCTCTATAACGACCCTGCATGCCCAAGCCACGATGCTGATGACTCCCGGGGCCGTTCATTCTTCCGTTCGTTTTTCCTTCTGTTCGCTCGTATATTTCTCTCCCTAGCCTCTTTTCCTCCTCTATCCTCTTTGGCCTCTCATCCAGCGGTATTTCCTCTCCTCGTCGTCGTTGTTCTCAACACTCGGGGACGGTTAATTTGATCCTTGATCGCGCAACGCTGGCTGCAGCCAGCCAACTGTCTCCGGATGCGCGTCTCATAAGATCACTCGCTGAGCCGATCGATCGTGCACCGAGAGGAACCTGGCGAGGGTATTTAAACGATGTTACCTAGCCGGCCAGGTTGGACGGATGTGACAAACTTCTCCCTTTCTCTCTCTGTCTCTTTTTCTCTCGCTTAATCCCCTCGCGACTTGACATTTCGGGACGCGTTGAAGGAACGTCCGAGCTGGCCCCCACAGCGCGAGCGTTGCCGAGTATCGATACATGTACGATATCGAGATATCTTTTGCCATGGAAACTCGTTTCATCGTATCTCTATATTTTTTCGAAAAAAATATTTTCTCTTTGCGCGTTGAATTTTATCACGAGAGTTTTTCCTTTATTTTTATTTAAAATATCGAGTCGCCTTCTCGATATAAATAGATATCAAAAAAGTTGAAAAGAAATATGTAATATATCTTTCGCGATAGATTTTTAATTCAAGATATAATTAATCCAAAAACGAAATATATATAATTGTGCGACCAAATCGGATGTGTTCCTCCACGCGTCGATCGCGCCCACAATTTAAGGATAACTTTCTTTTTTACAGTGTTTAGATACATCCTAATCCTTTTTATACAGAATCTTCAATTTTATAGAATATTCAATTTTCTCCCTCGCTCGTCCTTTAGCAATGTCGCGAACAATCAGTGTTGTTAAAATACACTTATCTTCTGCATGAGATAATTCTACACTTTCTGATAACTATGTTTAAATCCAGATACAAACTCGTCTGGATCTGCATATCTCGCGCACGATTAAGATTTCATGTAAATTCGTTGAATTTACATGACTCTTTCTTAAAAAATATTTATAATAATTCGAAAGTCTCCATGTTAGATATTGCTATTAATAGAAATATCTAATATTAATAATAATAATATTATTATTATTAATAGAAAAAATCATTGTATTCAATCATTAACAATTATTATTATAAATGATTTTACAATTGTTAGTAATAAAAAAACGTTACACATTAAAATATTACAATTAGTGAATATTATATTCCAAAAAAAAATAAAAATTATGTACGTTTGTAGGCACAAATCATTATCGTATTTTTACCAACACTGATTTCGCAATAGGCACTCATGAAAAGGAGCAACTATTTAAATCGTATATTTAATAAACCGATAAAAAAGAACGTTAGCAATGTCACGTAATATTTACATCGCTAATTTCCGGAAATGTCGCGTTTGTCATAAACAGCGCTCGCGGATGCTTTTTTTGATGCGACTGTTTTAAACGAAATCATTTCTACCTAATAAGCGAAAGATAACAACGTTCTCTTTGTAAATCAATATTTTGTGCACTGCAACAAGGGAATCTGAAAATTCATGAAACTTGAACAGAGCATGTGTAGGGCACCTTGGAAAATAGCGATTCTTCACAAAGCGATTTCGACGAATCGTTTGATCGTTTTTAATTAATATGGAATAAATTGTACGTTAATTTAATCTTGTTAAGCTATAAGAGATCTCGCGAGGACAATTATAGATTAAAATTTATCGTTTTGCTACTTTATACTTGTTATTTTATGTCAAATGTAGACAAAATCTTTTTACTTATAATATACAAATATATGAAAATTTAAAATATAATTTTTCAGTTAACAAATGCAACAAATTGATGTGTTTAAAATAACAGAATCAAATAAGGAAAATAAGTGTACTTGAAAGTAATAAAGTTCTTGCATTTTATTGCATCGCAAGTAATAAATTAATAAATTAAAAGATAATAAATTAATTTTCTACAAATTAATTTGCGAATCTTTATAGAATGAGAATATTTTCAGATAAGAATTTATTTTATTTTCATCTAGATATAATTATTTATATATGTGAGTGACGTTTACAACTAAAATATTAATAAAGTATCTATTATTAATACTGTAAATATATATGAATAATAAAAATTTTGGTGCTTTATTCATATAATTGACAAAAAATAGTATATTTTTAATTTTACGTACATCGAACTGAAGAAGAAAAATTAAAATAGAGCTATAGTATCATAGAATACTATAAATTATTTTTATATACGATTTATACTCTGCAATGATAAAATATCAATGACCTAACAACAACGAAAAGTTGTTCGGACAACTTTCGTATTAAAGCCCCTCACACGTCAGCGCAACTTTATGTTTCTCAAGAATTCCCTTTGTGAAAATGCGATAAAATATCGACAAGTATATATAGAGAGAAATATTAGCATCTCTGAAAATTAATGGATAATCTGAATATTTACATATATGAACGCGCTCCTTTTCGACAGCTTGCCGACATACATGAAGCACGTAAACACATTTAGGTATATTCGGTTCTGACAAGCTAAAGCGAGAAGAATCATATAAAATGCGAAATGCTGTTTATCAACAAAATTGCAATTTTACATATAATAAATCATTTTATACGTACAATCAATCGTACCGTTAATGCAATAAGAGAGAAATGCAATTACGAGTAATAAACATGTAGCCAACAACAACTAGTGGAAAAAGCACGTGGAAATAAATTAAGCAAGATTTTCAACATTCGTGAGGTGCACAAGCGAGACTATTGACGTAAACGCTAATGTAATCTATGTAAGCGAAAAGGACAGAAATACTCATGCAGAGAAAAAACTCACAAGGGTGCACTTTTGCGATTAACGTAATCGTGCGAGGGCGGGGGTGATGTAACACACGGATATATCAGAATGGATATGGATATATCAGAATGGATGTATCAGGACAGAGAGAGGGTGAGGGGGCGAGATAAATGACCCTCGTGATCGGAAATATGAATATCGCGTGAATAATTGAACGCCGTAATTTCAACAAGAATGCAAAACGCCCATTCAACATGTATATAATGGAAAGCGATATAATAAAGTTCTCGCAATTTAAGGTCCACACTCGGCCAAATAATGTTATGCCTTATATATCTGTCAAAGTGTCGCTTCTCTGCTATTTTTCTCACATCTGTCAAAGACTGTCAATAACTTTAAAATTTACAAACGACTGAAAATTCTTAGTATTTAAGTAGCAATAATTTATACTCATGCATGTGTATTAGAGACTATTATTTTACAAATCGTGAAAGTGTAAATCAGAAGAGGGTAAGATAATTATTAAGAAGACCGACTTGACAATCGGCTATTGTATCCGAAGTTATTTATGATCCTTTTCGAGTCGTTACCTTTGCTAAATAAATGCTTTGTTGAAAAATTTAACCTCCGAGAAGATTGCGCCAGGTAATAAAATCAAAAATTACCAACTCCGATTTACCGGTTACAAAACGCGATACGATTCGCCGAGCATTTCCTGCGCGCGCGCATCGAATTTTCATATATTTCGTATATCTCTGCACATTCCTTGCTCGTTTACATACTATATCGGCTTGTATCGGTCAAATATTTCTCGTTTCATGTTTCCACTAAAATTTACAAGTATCGAAAAGCCGTTTATTTTCATCCCTCGTACGTAACTCGGAGATCCTTATTGTTCTTGCGATGGTTGACGAAAAGTAGACTTTCAAATTTATCAAAGGATACATTCTTACAATTTAACATTGTGACGATAAGAACGTAAATTATTTAATTTAGCAAGAACAGTACTATTTTTCGATGAAAAATTTAACAAAGTATCTATTCAAATCTTGTAAAAACAATTTCCCGAGCTTCCAGGTATTTTTTTATTAAAAGTTTCAGGTAAAGAGAATATTTTGAAGATATTTTATAACTTTTCAAAGTAAACTTTCTTATCGTTATGTGTTTTCTAACGCCTTTTACTCAACGAAAAAACACAGAGTCACTTAAGTTTCAAGTGTTAGATTTGCAAATGTACTAAGACAAAACTAAATAGTTTTCGTAAGGTCAACATTTTCCATATTTTCATTCCCTTATCACTAAAAATTACAATAAAAAATATGCACTCAATATTTTAAGATATTGAATGTAAACAGACATAGATGTACAATTATAAATATTTTCGACACAATTCTCATAATTTAACTTATGGGTGAACTGTTGTTTACAGCATAAGAGTAAAATTATCCAAGAGAGAGAATTTAAAAAAGAAATTACTCCAATTTTTATAAAATTCCATGAGAATTTTGATTTTTCCAGATACAAAAGAAATCTCCGGTTTTTCTACGTTTTTTTCAGAATAGACATCCTGTTTAAACGAAATTATATACTGAGGAAAAAATTATCTTGAAATAAAAAAATTATCTTGAAATAAAAAAATTTTAGTTTACTCAAGAAAGTTATTTATTCGATGGATACTAATCACGTATTTACTTGTATTCAAAACGTTTATTTGCTTAAGTTAAATATGTTTAAAAATATGTTTAAAAAAATATAAGTTAAATATGTTTAAAAAAATATATATGCTTAAAAAAATATAATTAAAAAAAAATATTTTAATTAAATATTTTTATATTTTAATTTTACAAAATATTTATTAAAATGCATTTTTTATTCCCAAAAATTTAAAATTTTTTAATTTAAAAAAATAATATATTTAATTTAATAAATTATAGTATATATTTTTGAAAATAGTATTTAAATATAAAAAATATATAAATGAAAATAATGTACTTAATATAAGATGCATATTATAATTAAAATTAAATGCTTTTGCTTAAATGAAATAAACAATTCCTTCCATTTAAAGCAAAAGTTTCAAGAAAACAAATTTACTTGATTTAAAAAATGTTTCCCTTAGTGTATGCGATTAGGAACAGTTCGCATCGTTCGCGTGGTTCGACGGCAGTAAAGACCTCTCTCAAGGATCCTCTCCATCTCATCTCTCGATTCGACGGCGCCGTCGCCGATTTTTGGGCCTTTTTGGGCCACGGGACCCATCGTGGCATCGCCGAGCCAGGCCGCCCGACTCGGATCCGAGGAAACGATTAAGTGAACCGGAATATCCAGACCCCGTTGCTTGGGGCCAGCCTTCTCTCCGCTTTCGTGCGCGGATCCGTGTGTTTGGGAAAAAATGTCTGCGGGCCCCGACGATAACCGTAAGGTCGTCGTGTATTTTTAGGCGG